TGGGGGCTAGGGTTTTCTTCTTACCTTTCTTTTCTTTTTTACAAAGAAGGGACCCACTTGGGTTAGGGTTTCTCCTTTTCCCTCTTGTTTTAAAACAAGGAAGGCCCACTTACCTAGATACTTAATTTGGGCCCAACAAACAAGAACAATTGTAGAGAAAACAATTTCCACAATAATTAGATACGTAAGTACACGTCAACACTCATAACAATTACCACAGCAGCTTGGAATAAAATGAAATGGAACAATTAAATTAAATAAAAAGAAATTTCTAAGAAAGGAGGCCCCGAGACTCGAGGGTAAACTAACCTGAGTAACGCGGGGCGTTACAATCTTAGTCAAAGGCGCCGCCAATCGGGAGAAATCTTGGACGAACCTTCTATAATAGCCGGCTAGTCCGAGAAAACTGCAGATTTCGGTCACTGTACGAGGTCTTGGCCAACCACTGACCGCTTCTACTTTGGCCGGGTCCACGGCAATACCCTCCTTGGTGACTATGTGGCCAAGGAAGGCCACCTTATCCAACCAAAACTCGTATTTTGAGAACTTCGCATACAGGCTGTTCCCCCTCAAGGCGATAAGGACCTGTCGCAGATGTCCTTCATGCTGTTCTGCTGTCTTGGAGTAAATTAAGATGTCGTCGATAAACACAATCACAAATAGGTTCAAAAATTCCTTAACAACCCGATTCATGAGATCCATGAATGCCGCAGGGGCATTGGTGAGTCCAAAAGACATCATGGTAAACTCAAAATGCCCATACCTGGTCTTGAAGGCTGTCTTTGGTATGTCGGCGTCCTTAATTCTCAACTGGTGGTACCCCAATTGCAGGTCTATCTTCGAGAACACTCTTGCTCCTTTTAGTTGGTGAAAGAGGTCATCGATGCGAGGAAGGGGTACCTATTCTTTGTTGTCACCTTGTTCAATTCTGGGTAGTCAACACAAAGTCGCATAGATCCATCTTTCTTTTTCATAAAAAAGCACTGGAGCACCCCAATGAGACACACTTGGGCGAATGAAGCCCTTGTCTAAGAGCTCTTCTAGTTGTGCCTTAAGCTCCTTAAATTCCGCTGGAGCCATGCGGTACGTTGCCTTTAAAATGGGGGTTGTCCCGGGTAATAAGTCGATGCAAAAGTCCAGTTCACGGACAGGGGGTAGCCCCGGGAGGTCTTCAAGGAACACGTCTGGGAACTCTTTGACCACGTGGACGGAGTCGATACTGGGTGGAATCTTACTAGTGTCGACGACACTGGCCAAATAACCCCAGGCGACGCCTTGCCTTCAATGTCGAAACTGCCTTTGGAACTCCACCCGTAACTCCTTTAAACGTAAAGCTCCGACCCGAAGGTAGTTGGAAGGAGACTTCCCTCCTTGGGCAGTTAATGTTGGCTTGGTTGGTAGCTAGCCAATCCATGCCCAATATGACGTCAAAATCCCGTATGTCCAGCTGGATCAATCTTGCCTTTAGGGTCTGATTGTCAAAGGATAACTTGTCTGCTCTCACCATTTGACTAGCAATCATAACTGTTCCTGATGGCGTAGAAACTGACAACAAAATCCCTAACAGCTCTATTTTGAGGGTTGCCTGACGAACAAACGCAGTGGAAATAAAAGTGTGACTTGACCTAGAATCAAACAATGCATAAGTAGGCACATTATGGACTAAGACCCTACCTGGAAGATAATGCAAATGTAAAGACATAGACCCCGCACGCAATACCCAAAAAAAAACCCAGAGTGAGAAAGAAATACCTGTGACAATGGTTTCGGCATCCGCCGCTTCCTTGCGGGTAAGTGCGAAGACACGAGCCCTCTTGTTACCTCCCTGCGTCAAAATTGTTGAGGGAGCCCTCTGGCCTAGCCTCTGGGTATTCGCGGTTGACATGGGACACTCCCTTGTAAAATGCCCTTCTCTCCCGCACCTGAAACAGCGCTTATTTTCAGTCCAACACTGCCCCACATGTCTTTTCTGGCAGAAGGGCACACGGGCCGCATGCCCTTTTGCTGAGCCTGGCGCTGGGGTGCTCTAAATGCCTGGTCGACATAAGTCAGGGGGGCTTTCCTTTTTACACCTAAAGACGAACTGACTTCTAACAGAGGTTGGGCCTTGTTAGAGACATCCTTATCCATAATTAAGGCGCCCCTAACTGCCTCAGCGTAAGTGGTGGGTCGCTGAAGGTCCACTGGTCCTCTGATCCCCCTACGCAAGCCTTTAATAACAATAGCCGCAAAACATTAGTTCGCCTATGAAGAATGAATAAAGAAAAAGAAAACGTTCCGTGAGTCAACCCAATGTCTAGTACACGCCTAACTATAAGTTTCTAACGCTGCTCGCAATGAACGGCAGTTTCCACCATCCTAACCAACACAACTAGTGATCCTTCCTCGGTCAAGCCTCTTCCACGTCATCACCACGGTTGGAGGTCCTGTTCACACCTGAAACAATTAAGGTAGAGGATGGGTGAGAATATAAAATACTCCATAAGTAGCCCTCCCTAACTAATCACAACAGCATGCTCGTAATCACAGCGACATCAAACACAATAGCAAAAACAAACAACCAGGCAACAAGAGATAATAACAGTAGATTAACATTCCCATATAAGCATCCAAACACCAGGACTCTCAGGACTTCGACTACACAACCGACTAGCCTTTGACCCACTCGAGCTAAAATTCGCTCTACCCTCTACGTTAGTACTCCAAGTCTAACTCTTCGAGGCGTATCGGCCTTTGACATTTATCCCCAAGATACCGACCTCCCTCTACAAAAGCTTGGCGTTCGACCTTACCATTTATTCCCAAGGCCTTGAACTGTGCACCAGTCCTTGACATTTATCCCCAAGGTACCAATGACTACTCTACGTATTGGTTCTTAACATTTATCCCCAAGATCCCAATATTCATCTATAGAAACTTGATGTTCGGCCTTGTCATTTATCCACAATGCACCAATGACTATCGGCGTATTGGTCTTTGACATTTATCCCCAAAACTCCAATACTCCTTTATAGAAAACTTGGTGTCCGGCCTTGTCATTTATCCCCAAGGCCTTCTACCCCCGGAGCCTCGACATCTAGTAGGAACTTAATCGCCTCGTCCATTGCCCACGAGGCCACAACACCGGTACATCCACTTTCATTACACGATAAACCACGGATTCGCAACATCGTCATTCGCTAAAACTTTACCACATAACCCCCAAATCATCCACTACAAGGCCTTGAATAACCCAACGACTAGTATGCGTTTTCACTTCCGACAACCCACATGATAACAACAGCTAACCCGTCCCATCACTCTTGACAACTCCCACTAACCCTTCCAAGACAACCTATAAGTCACCCACATTCCAAGTCACAACACAATTTTCCAGCATACTTTTAATCGTACCAAACAAAACACTGCCCAACAGCTTCCAACTAAACGACATAAAACTAAATAACATACAATCAGCATAAGCATTTCATCTTAACATGTTTCCAAACGTCATAGATCAATCCCTCCCAACCATAATAATCAGAACTGATCAACCACATTCAACCACAAGAAACCATGCATGCTCATAATGTCTAATAATAGAATTAGTAACATGTAACTCAACAACAATCACAAGGCAGTCACAAAATCAAGACTAACAATTGCTATATGCACGAAATAAATTATTTTAACTAAAAATCAGCACAAAACCATTCCATTAACATTCAATAACGCACACACTCGCCCCCTGGTGCTACTTATACATTACTATGCTCCTAGATCTTGCGTCAATTCAACACCTAATCAACAATAGACAAATAAAAATAATTAACACAAAATTTCTAGCCAACGAAATTCAATATAAGGGATCTTGCAACGTCCGTTACCGAAAAAATCGCCTTCGTCTAGGTACGGGTAATTCCGGCCTAAGTCGAATAAATGTGGGTTGCGTAAATCGAGCTTCTAATGGTTATGGGTAGGCGCCGAAAGCAAAAACTGCTGCTGTCCAAGCTACTTTATCAACAAAAACTCACCAAATCGATACCCACTACGCCTGTGTACA